CGTTTAAATTCAATGTTCAATTTTTTTTAGTTGCGTCGTGCCTTCAAGCACGGGTTATCCCTAGTGTGTGTGTATATATATATTTACCTTTAATGTGATGTTTGAAGATACCCTAGCATGTTTGAATCAATACCGAAGCGAGAATCCTCCCTGTGTCTCCTCTCTTTCTTCCTCTGAAGTTTTTAGGGTTTTCTTGGATGAATAATTGCGAAACATTGGCCTAAGGGTTGTTCCTTAGTTATTATAATGTCAAAAGTGAAAAAAACTCCCAACAAAGATCGTCTAACTTCTGCCCGGTGCATCCGGATGTTTGTTTCTCCTCGTCTGGACGTGTCTGACAGTATACCCCCACTTCTAGATCAATTTTGACCTATTTAGAAGTCGATTCATAATATTTTCGTGAAATACACTTTTGCACCCTTTGACGTTTAGCTTCTTCTCCCCAAACATCAGCTCCATTGGATATTAAAGTAAAAATTTATAACCAAAATACTAAGGTAGTATCAAATTCTTTTATACCAAATCCTCTCCAAAATAGGTTTTAACTCAAAAAATCTTCATAACTTCTAATATACCCCATATTACCTCTCCCAAGGTTTTTTGACCTTCTGAATTCAATGAAAACTTTATTTTGACCTAAAAATATTTACAAATTTATTTAGCCACACTTTTCAATCCAAACATCTCCAAAACTCAATTTATTTCAACGTAAATACGCGCAAAACTCAAACTTTATAATCAATCTTTCAACTATGATTCTAAGTTTCTATCATTATTTTATTCATCTTAGGAGAACTCTTAAGATAATATTATCCTTATTTAAAATTTTAATATGGGGTCTTACAATTGACCATCAATTTTATCAAATTAACATAAAAATTCATGAATTTAACATTCAATTTCATCCAAATAAACACCAAATTAACATTTGATATCATCAAATTAGAATTAAATTAAAACCAAATTCATCTTCAATTTAATTTATTTCTAGTTTCATAAAATTAACACCATACTGATAGCCAATTTTATCTAATTAACATAAACAGTTAACATCATTTTAACATTCACTTTTTTCAATTAAGATCTAATCTATTAAGTCAACACTATATTAACATTTGATTTCATCAAGTTAAAATAAAATACACCTTCAATTTTATTTATTAAAATTTAATTTGGCCAAATTAATGCCCATATCAAGTTAACATTGACATTCATTAATTTAATATTCAACTTCATCTAACCGAGATTCAATTCATAAAAGAAACACCAAATTAACATTCAATTTTATCAATTCAAAATTTAATTTCGTCAAATTAACACTGAATTCATCGTCAATTTGATTTATTAAAATTTAATTTTATCGAATTAACACTAAATTTATTGTTAATTTTATCACATTAAAATTAAATTTCTTGAATTTAATATTCAATTTCATCCAATTGAGATCCAATCCATCAAAGAAACACTAAATTAACATTCCATTTCATCAATTCAAAATTTAATTTCATGAAACTAACACTGAATTCACCGTCAATTTGATTTATTAAAATCTAATTTCATCAAATTAATACTAAATTGACAGTTAATTTTATCAAATTAAAATTAAAATTCATGAATTTAACATTTGATGAATCAAATTGACCCAGGAAAAAAGATTCATGAAAAATTCATTCTATTAAGATCTTTTACATCAAATTAAGACCAAATTCACCTTCAATTTTATTTAGTAAAATTTAATTTCACCAAATTAACACCAAATTGACCAATTTAGCAAAAAATTGACCAAAATAACATTTAATTTCATCCAATTGAGATCCAATTCACCAAATTAACACCAAATTGACCAATTTTATCAAATTTACCTTCAATGTGAATGTCAATTTGATTTTAATTTAATAAATTGAATGTTAATTAGATGAAAAGGAATGTTAATTTATTATAAATTTGATATATTGAATGTTAATTAGATAAAATTGAATATTTATTTGATGAACTGGATGCTAATTGGAAGAATTAGAATGTTAATTTAAAGTCAATTGGATGAATAATTTGATATATTGAGTGTTGATTTGTGAAATTTAAATATAACTTGGAGAATTTGAATGTCAATTTGATGAATTAAATATTAATTGGATGAAATTTAATGTTAATTTGATAAATTTAATGTTAACTAGTTAAGTTTGAATGTTAATTTGAGGAATTGAATGTCAACAAGAAGAAATTAAATATTAATTATGTTAATTTGACAAATTTTAATGTTAATTGATAAATTGAATTTTGTGCTAATTTAATGAACTAAAAATTAATTTATTATTTATTTGATGAATTGAATGCTAATTGGATAAAATTAAATTTTAATTAACTGGATAAATTTAGATGCTAATGTGATGTCAATTTGTTGAATTGAGTATAATTAAATGAAATTGCATATTATTTTGGTCTTGATTTGGTGAATTGAATATTGATTTGAAGATTTTTTATGTTAACTTGATTAATTGAATGTTAATGAGATGAAATTGAATGTTAATAGAATAAATAGAATATTAATGGGATGAAATTGAATGTTAATTTTGTTGATAATTTGGTGAATTTAATTTGTTGTATTTGAAATTCAATATTAATTTGATGAACTAAATGTTAAGTACATGAAATTGAATGTTAATTTTGTATTAATTTGATGAATCGAATGTTAACTGAATGAAATAGAATTTTAATTTATTGTTAATTTGATAAACTAAATGTAAATTTGATGTTGAACGATGTTGAATATTAATTTGATGAATTGAATGTTAATTGAATGAATATGAATGTTAATTTTATATCAATTTGATAAATTGAAAATTGATTGGATGGAATTGCATATTTGATGAATTGAATGTTTATTGAATGATAATTTGATAAATTACATGTTAATTGGATGACTTAAATGTTAATTTGATGTAAATTTGGTGGATTGAATATTAATTAGGTGAACTTGAATGTTAACTGGATGAAATTGAATGCTAATTTGATGAATTGAATGCTAATTAAATAATTTTTTATGTTAATCTGATGTATATTTGATGAATTGAATGTTAATTTGATAAATTTGTGTTGATTTGACGACTTGAATGTTTATTGAATATTTTTTTTATGTTAATTTGATAAATTGAGGCTTAATGAGATGAATTTGAATATAAACTTGATGTATTAAATGTTAATTTGATTTTAATTTAATGAATTGAATGTTAATCAATTGAATTTGAATGTTAATTCGATGAATTGAATGATAATTTTGTATTAATTTGATGAATTAAATATTAATTGGATGTTAATTTTTTGTTTATTTGATAAATTGAATATTAATTAGATGAAATTAAATATTAATTAGATGAATTTGGATGTTAATTTGATGAATTGAGTGTTAATTGGATAAAAATGTTTGGTATTTTGGTGTTGAATTAATGAATTGAGTGTTTATTATTTACTTTTTGATGTTAATTTGAGAAATAGAATGTTACTTGGATGAATTTGAATATTAATATGATGAATTGAATGTTAATTTGATAAATTGAGGCTTAATGAGATGAATTTGAATATAAACTTGATGTATTAAATGTTAATTTGATTTTAATTTAATGAATTGAATGTTAATCAATTGAATTTGAATGTTAATTCGATGAATTGAATGATAATTTTGTATTAATTTGATGAATTAAATATTAATTGGATGTTAATTTTTTGTTTATTTGATAAATTGAATATTAATTAGATGAAATTAAATATTAATTAGATGAATTTGGATGTTAATTTGATGAATTGAGTGTTAATTGGATAAAAATGTTTGGTATTTTGGTGTTGAATTAATGAATTGAGTGTTTTATTTACTTTTTGATGATAGAATGTTACTTGGATGAATTTGAATATTAATATGATGAATTGAATGTTAATTTGATAATTTTGAATATTATTTGATGAATTTAATGTTTATTTTGATATTAATTTAATAATTAAATGTTAATTTGCTGAATTTGAACGTTGATGTTATAAATTGAATGTTACTTGGATCAAAAATACAATTGTTTGGGATGATATTATAACAATTTGAGTGAATTTACCATGATTTGATGTGAGTTTACAACTATTCGGGTAATGTCACTACTGTTTGGGGTATGTTACCATTGTTGGAGACTATATTGCCACTTTTAGGATAATACTAGGATGATTTTGGCCAATACAATAGTAACTTTGGCCTATGCTCTTGTTACTTTGTCTACTATTGTTGTAACTTAATGCTAAACTATTGTAAATGTACCCTTAATTGTTCTAGTTTTACCAAAGTTGTTATAAATTCGTCCAAAATTGTTGTACTTAACTTATTTCTATCATAAATTAACCCACAATCTTTGTAATGTGACATTTAAATATGGTAACTTTACCTACAATAGGTAGTAATCTTATTCAATTTGTTGTAAATTCACCTCCATCATAGTATAATACATCCTTAACTGTTGTAAAATAACTAAAGTTGTTATAAATTCATGCACAGTGGTTATAATTTAACTCATTTCTGTCGTAAACTTATCCACAAAATTTGTGTTGTGATCTTACCTATTTGAAACGCTACGATGGCCAACTCTGACCGTACATCGTCCTCTTTGTAGACGTCAAGCCACCGTTATGAGATGGATAAGAGGATTAGAACCGGAACTAGACTTGATAAGGATTTCCAACGTGGCGGAATCTTAGAACTTGGGCATCGGTTGTCTTTTTCACTCATTTTGTTTGATGAAAAGTCTAAACTAGTTTCATTGCCTGATGGTAAACCACCCCCTATACGCTATTTGATTGCTGAGAAAAGAAGAAAGTAATTGCATTTTTGTATGAAAAATTGTTTGCCCCACCTTGTTGATGCTTCACCCACCATCGCAAAAAAGGATTTTAGATTGAATTGTTGTTGGATGCTTTTTCTTTTCAGGGGTTGCTGTTCTGTACTTCCCTTGAAATGCAATCATGGCCACAACTAAGGTCTACATAGTGTAAGTAAACCCAACTCTCTCAAACCCACAAATAGATATCATTATCTTATTACCTCACACAAGCGCGCACACAAAATAAAAGCTTGCGCTCATGTAAAATTGTTTACGGTGGATGGAGTTATTCTCCTTTGTTTATTTATTTTTCTGAAGAGTAATTGTTGTTGTTGAATCTCATTGTTACTATAGGTATTACTCCTTGTATGGGCATGTGGAGCATATGGCACGAGAAATTCAACGAGGAGCCAACTCGGTTCAAGGAGTTGAAGCAACACTATGGCAGGTACTACTCCTATGTAGTGCATCTATAATAATGATGTGTTTTGCAAATATTAGGTTTTTGGGCATGCCAGAGTCTAATGGATCTGACTTTAACTAGAAAAAGGGATTTTATGTTGCCAAAATTTACCAAAACTTTCTGTTATTGTTGGATAATAGTGATTCATTTGTTTCTTAAGGTAGTGATTTCCCTCAATCGGAGATTAATGATGGGATCAAAACTAAGTAGCCAATCTAGATTCCAAAGATAATCGCCCAAAAATGAGTCAAATTGCCCAAAAAAAAAAAATAATTCCCTCGGAGATATGTAGGGAATAAACCTCGCAGCAATTTGTTCGTACAATGACAATAAAATAAGTTAGCGAAATAAAGAAAATCATTGCACAATTCACAACACTAAAATTTACATGGTTCTGCAAAATTGATTTGTCTATGTCAATGAGGCATGATCCGGTCTCCTTTCTTTACTAATAAAAGAAAATGGGTACAAAGGTATAAGTCTCACCACTCAAGTTTAAATGTCAAACCCAAGCCCTTAACCCATATACAATCCGCTTAACCTTACCCTTTCAAAACTCCAATAAAAAAAACTCTCTAAAACAAAGAGAAAGAAAAATTGAACTAATACAATTTTTTGGGATGATCTCAAAAACTAAGAGACCCATACCTATTTATAGGCATTTCAAGTCAAGATGGTGGCAGATGAACTTATTTGAATTTAAACAATTACTCCAATAAAATTTTAGCAATGACATCATCTAACTAATTACAAAGGAACCATCATCTCATTCAAGCAATGAAATTGCTCCACTTGTATCCTCCAATAAAAGATCAATTCAAATATTTTTTCTGGTAATTTAACATTGAACAAACAAAGAAGTGAAGAACTATTTGAATCAGACAAATGTTCACATAACTAGAGCTTACTAGTGGAAAGGAAGATTGGAAACATGCAGGACATGACAATGGGACGAATATAATGTACAAATAGAGGAAATGCTTATTAATGGAAATAGAGAATTTTTGGTATTCTTGTTAAGTTACTCTTAATTTGAATAAAATAGGTACCTGAGACGCTCCATAATCAAGTATTAGAAAAGATGAAGGCTCCTTCTAAAGCAAATGATGTGCGAGAGATCAAGCCGGAACAACTTTTGGAAGCTGATGGCTTTATCTTTGGTTCTCCTTCTCGTTTTGGCATGATGGCAGCCCAATTCAAGGCCTTCTTTGATGCCAGCCATGAGTTATGGGCATCACAAGCACTAGCTGGTAAACCTGCTGGAGTGTTCTGGAGCACTGGTTTCCATGGGGGAGGTCAGGAGCTTACCGCGTAAGTTCTCATCTTTCTGCTATGTTTTATGAACTCTTATTATAGATTACTAAATTACAATCGACACACATAGACAAATGACTATGTATGTGTCTATCAAAATAGTTTGGTTATTGACATCGTAATTTTATTGATTATCTGGAGCAGTTTATGATTCTGTGACTCCATAAGTGTGCCTCCCAAATTAGTAGCACTGTTCAGTAGTAAGGATTATTGTCTTCAACAGTATACTTTGAAATTTGTTGTCCATAATATATGAACGATATGATACAGGCACGGTGATATGCCCAACTCTAAAAATATATGGAAAAGCTGCCTACAAATGGTTGTGATTTTCTCGGCCTTGGCACTCTTGATTGGAGGCCAAGAAAAATGATAACTAGTAAGGATCGATAAATCTTGACTGATTGAATCCATATTGGTTGATGTTATGTAATTCTGGATGACTAAGAATTTGTTTGCAAAAATTTATTATGAATGGCTTTCTGGTCTGAGGTAAGATCATTAACTAGTGTTTATTTTTCAATTCTTCCTTCTATTTACTTGAAGAATTTTGTGTCTAATGGATGTTTTGTACAATGTTCTTCTCCTTTACATGCAGATTAACATTCATTACACAGTTGGCACATCATGGAATGATATTTGTCCCTCTTGGCTACACTTTTGGTAATGGGATGTTTGAGATGGAGCAGGTGAAGGGTGGATCTTGCTATGGTTCTGGAACATATGCAGGAGGTGGGTCTCGTCAGCCAACAGAGCTAGAATTTCAACAGGCCTTTTATCAGGGCAAGTATGTGGCTGAAATTGCAAAAAAGCTCAAAATTCAGCTCATTCCAGCATAACACATGCCCATTCCTGTCGTAGAATCCGAGGATACATAGAATATCTTAATGGAAATAAGAATTGAAAAATATTGGTGTATAATTACTGTTTTTGGTTGCGTTTGTAGCTATATTTGTAACAGTAATAGGAAAAGAAGCAATGACTTATAATCAAGATGTAACTGTAGGGCATGAATGGAGCATTTTTCTTGATAAAGGTTCACTCGAGGTGGTAGCTTGGCAGTGCTGTTATATTCTTGCTGTCAGTAGACTTTATTTATAAATTTTCAAAGTATTAAAAAATAAAAAAATAATAATAATAATCTTGATCTATTTATATCTGAACTTCTTCAAGAATAAAAAGAGTTTGGAAATCGATTACTACATTCACATATTTAGATGTGATATAAATGTGAGTAAAAGTTCTTGTTTTTTTTTTTTCCCGACAATTTAAATATAAATTCAAGAAAATCCTTCTAAAAACAGAAAATTTAGTTTGAATAGGGTAAATTATATTCAGACCCTCTGAAATTTGTTATTTAATTACTTAGAATACACACATGTGTTATATTACACCTGGGACCCCCTGATATTTGTATATGTATAATTCATAATTCTTATTGTCAGTCTCTATTAAAATATTCGTTTAAAATTTATGATGTCATCGTAACATAAAAATAATTTATCAAACCTTTTATACGAGGGCCCACTTTCATTTGTTTGTCTGACCAAACTAACATTCAAAACACCATTGCTGTCATATTAGAAATCACGCTCTTTGCATATGAAAAAGAACTTCTGTAATAGTGAGTACTTTATATTTTTATTTGCTATCAATTTGCTGACAAACAATGGAATAAGGAAAACCAAAAAAAAAAAACTTGATCTACCAAAAATCATGTCATACCACACCATATATTCGGATTAACAACAATAATCAAATAAATAACCAATTTGTTTAAACAATGCCCTAATCAGTATGTTCTAACAAAGTCGTAAATAATAACCAAAAACATAATTTTAAAAATCATGAGTTATTTTTCTACAATCCAAAAAAAAAAATGATTTGTTAATGGAGATTGACGAATTTTTAGCAGCTACCTTAATGGAAACTGGCGATTCACATTGTTTTATATGCGTGAAGAGAATTTAAGAGTAATATGTCAAATATGAGGGGCCAAAGTAATTAAATGACAAATTTCAATAGGTCTTAGTGTAATTTATCCTATAAAATATTATCCCCCCCCAAAAAAAAGGTAAATATTTAGCTTAAAATTAAACGTGAGAGCACGTGCTAATTTTTATGTGATGTTATTATTTAATAATAAATTGTGTTATTTTTAAGGAAAAATTTCATCTAGGTTCTCTAAAATTTTTCACTTAATCACTTAGACCACCTAATATTTAAAATATTACATACAAATCCCATAAGATTTGTACGCGCGTAAACCATGTCATTAATGTTTGCTAGTATATCTGTTAGTAAATTACATCCAAATTCCTGAAATTTAAATCGTGTAATACTTAAATATCTCAAATTTAAAATATTATATTTAAATAAAAATACTTAAATTAAAAATAAAATATCAAAATATTTTAAATTTTACAACTAAAATTCATGTTATATTATGTCATTTATTGAAAAAAAATCAATAATAAAATTTAATTTTTTCTTAAAAAAATCATAATTAGTTATTGTTGATGCCAAAATTTAGACGACCTCCACTTCAGTTTGTTGGACTTTGATCACCTAAAAAAGAAGTCAGAGACTAGTGGAGAGTTCTGGGAGTCAACTCTCCAATACCTAAGTCAATAAGTGATTTAAAGGTATGAATTGTGTTTAATTGATTCCGTTAGTTCCAAAATAATAAAGGGTTTAAGTATAATATTTTAAATTTGAGTGATCTAAGTGTTACATGCCTATAAATTTTAGAGAGTTTAAGGGTAATTTACTAATAAATATACTAACAGACATTAGAAATATAAGTATTATACTTATATAAACTTTAGAGAGTATGTGTGTAATATTTTAATTATCTATGTAGAGGCAAAAAAGTGGTAATACCTCTACATGTAAATTCGTGATACAGTTTCTGGGAAAAGAAGTTTGAATAATCTCCTAATCTTCTTCCTGCAAAACGAACAAACTGCCCAAGATCAAAATGCTTCGATCGAAGACACTTCGATACTTAAGTCAGTAATTGAACAGAAAAAAATTGCCCTGAGTCAAGGAGAATTCAGCGTACCTTTCTTCTTGGCTCCTTTTGCTTTTTATAGTTGGGCATCCCCTTAGGGTTTTCGTAATTCTTGTTTCAAGGTGATACACCTTCCTCCAATTCAGTGATTCGGTTTGGAAAATTGCTAATATTTCTCCATTATTTTCTTCTGATATCTTCAATTTCTCTGATTCGCTTATCTTGATTGCCTAAGTTATAGGCGAATCTTTATCCTTTTATTTATTATCTAAAACAGCTAGGCCATATCAAATGCCGAGCACACTTGA